TACCAATTCCCACCAATTCCGGAATTGTGTGGACTAGTTCTAATTACTGAATTACATGGAATTCCCACCGATTCCGGAATTCCTACCAATTCCGGAATTGGACGGAACTCGATCAATTTTCGAGTGGGTATCGGATATTATGTGTCGATCGAGTTCCCGGAATTGAACGGAATCGATTCCGGAGCGGAATTGGTTCCTGAAATGTTCAACATTGCGGAATAGGATGACTGCTCCATTGAAAACGATGTTTATCATTCAGTGCGCATGAGTTAGCTGCAATTGACTCATCAAAACCATCATAACAATCCGCAAATCCATCCATGATTCGACGCTTACGTATACATTTATTCGTTCCTGAACAACGTACTGTAGTTGGATCGAGGCAAGTATTCTCATTATCAGTTTTAAAGAGTTGATTACATGCTCTGAAAATGTCATACACAGTATAACTTGATGTTAAATTTAATTGGTTAGTATGTAAACATGTATAACTATCTAGTGTGAATGTTGGAATTGGAAATGAACAAAGATCTTTGTTATAACATACAAAGTCAGGTTCATATCCAGATCGTCTGATAGTTGTTTCATTAGAGAAATAGCCAAATCGTACATGACCATCCCATACTGGAAGCGTAGGTGCAATGAATGCAGGTGGGCAATCTTTAATAGTTTGTATTTTACATTCTTGTGTATTATTGCATAAATTTTTGCAATATTTATCAAAGTTTCTCGATAAAAATGGGTATGATACGCACATAAGAGTTTTGAAACAACGAGAATATCGTGCATCCACAGGATTGTTCCAGTCAAACATATAGTTCATTGCTCGATCTCGATTATTTGTGCATGGAATAATCCCTCGAGTTACTTCCACAGCAAGGCAAGTTCCATCTCCGCAGTTAAAATTAGTATGTTGTGGACAAAGAACGTCTTCACATTTAAAAGATGAGTCTCTCGCGCATGAAGCCAAGTCTTTGACTCGAATTTCATCCGATCCATCTAAACACTCTGGATTATAAATACGAAACGGTGAAATATCTTCATCTGAAAGGAAATCTTCATTCACACACATACCATTTTGACATTGATATTCGTTTTCTTCACAACGATTCATTTCAAGTTCAATACAATATTTTTCATCTTCACCATCGTCAAGACAGTTCACCTTTCCATCACATATGTCACGCCAGTCGAGACAGGTTAGAAATGAATGATTATCACATTTCATATGTATGTAACAAGTTAATGTCGTATTTTCATCGAACAACTTGCGCTCGTCAATTCTCATTTGAATAAAAGATGAGAATGATTGATTTAAAACAAATCGATATTGACAAATTGATCCAAACCATGGTGGAGTGCAATTATAAAATACGTCAGTTGCTGAAGTTGTGTTCATTTGCAGAAAATATTCATAACGTTCGATAAGATCAATAGGACTTGACCATTGCATTAGATCAGTAGAAGTTATATTATTCTTTTTTAATTCATCAAACGTTAATTTAGATGATATTGATTTTTCATTAATATCGATTATTTCTTTCGAAAGTGTTCGAATACAATATTCAACGATCTGCTCAATTATATAAGTGGTTTCATTCAAACTGGCACTCTTAGTTATTGGTGAATAGAAACAATCATGATTAAAATCAGTGATCATCATATCTGTATTATAAAGATTGTAAAAAGGTTGCCATGTATTTGCATTAGAAACTATGAAGGTATTACTGATGATAATAATGATATAAGATAATAATATAGTCATCTTGAATATAATATATCTAAAATAATTAAGATTTGAGTGTGAATGAGGATGTGAGTATATGAATAACCCAGAAAGGATGGATTTAATAGGAGGGTATGGGTGGGGATAAGATTTGATCATGAAACACTCACATCCTCAAATAGTAAGGATGAGAACTGATTATATAGCTTATCTTTGCTCTTTATCTTAAATACGGTAGTTCAATTTTCTACTCATATATTTCATGATCTTCAAAAATTATCGAATACTTATTAAAAAATAGATAATATTTATGAACTCACCATATCATACATTTATATCGGCGTTGTTGTTAAAGATTTGAATTAAATACAATATTGAAACAAGTTAGATAATGACAAGACTGCAGATCATAGATGGATGAGACTTAACTGATACTGTTATTCGATAAGAGAAAAATAAAAGTGAAATGGATAAAAAAATATTATGATGGTCTCTCAAATGCTATTTAGCTATACAATTACTACTATTTTCTCTAAAACTTCTTTTAAAAATAAAACTGAAAAATGTAACATATTGAATAACATAATAGACAAAAATACAATATATATATCTGTGTTTTGCTATCGTTTATCAAAATTATAGTTAATTCTAAGAGTTTCATATATTTAAAAACAGAGTATCATCTGCCATTACATTTCTCTTTTCTGCTCACCTATGACGGACCCACTCTTATTGCTTTACGCAGCCTAAGCTTAAGCAGTATAGAACACTTTGGACGGTTCTCTCGTTAGAAAAATACAGATTATTTCAAGATAAAATTTTACTATATCAAGTTAAAGCAAAAATATTTAGAGATATTGACGCTAAAACTAGTGATATATTTCTGTTCTCTTCTGCCATCGAATGTTTCTCCGCCGTCAAAATGTAACTGAATATCTATGAGCATACAAAATGCAGCAAGTTTGAGAGAAAAAAAATTATATACTAAATAAAGATTAAAAAGTGGATATAACGCAAAAAAGAGACAGACAAATGCAAATGAAAAAAGGAAATAGGGAAATAGGTTTCATAATAAAACAACGACGGAAATGCCAGCAAAGACGGTTGACAGATGGAAAAATAATTAATGAATAAATGGAGAAAAAAAATGGTGTAAGTGCAAATTCAATTTTGATCAAACTCGTCAAAATCGACTTTTTCATACTTGACCAAAGGAAATTTTTTTTGTGAGAAATCGCGATGAAGTGACGTCTGTGAAAAAACAGTTTCCGGTGATTTTCTTTTCAATCACGAAAGTTCGACCGTTAATTTGAACTTTCAATACCGCATCTCGAAGAAGACGCGATTTGTAATGGTTTTTGAAAACTGGATAAACGGTCTGATTCCTGCGATCCGAAAAAACTGTCGAGAGATGCAGTTTCTCATAAAAATATCTCCTTCGGTGTAGTATAAAAAAGTCGATTTTGACGAGTTTGATGAAAATTAAATACGCAATTACTGCATTTTTTCCTCGATTTATTCGGTAATAATTTTTCCATCTGTCAACCGTCCTTGTTGGCATTTCCGTCGTTGTTTTATTATGAAACGCAGTTCCTTATTTCCTTTTTTCATTTGCATTCGTCTCTCTCTTTTTTGCGTTATATCCACTTTTTAATCTTTATTTAATATATAATTTTTTTTCTCTCAAAACTTACTGTACCTGAGTCAGATCCTTTCCACATGTGGTCAGCAGTGGGCTATAGGAGAAGCCGATCGGAAAATTGTTTTACTTTGAGAAGAAATGGTTCATCCCCACAAAAATAAAGCAAAAAAGATATTTATTTAATTCCGTATTTGATACCACATGGATATTCCATACAAAGAGAAATGGTAGAAACGTAAAAATATATATATTCCAATATAGATATTTTCATTTATAGAAAAAAAGTGTTTTTTTCGAATTTTATTTCTCATTGTGACTCAAGATATAAATGAAGCATTTTACCTTGAAATTTATTTATTTCTGCAAGTGGAAATCCATATTCACTAGAATGTCTCATTAGCCAGTAAAAATAAAGTGATCCATTTCTGTTTATGAGTGGAGATATGAATGAACTACTGCCCTTTGACTTGTTGCCAATTTGGTCGAAAAATAATTTCTCCTTGGAGCGGAACAGTTTCTCTTGGTTGAGGGATATAGTATTTCCCTCGATCTAAGAAGATTTCTGCAAGGATGTTCTATTTTTTTTCCTAGGAAACGTCAAAATCCTAAAAGAAGCTTGTAGCCATGAAATACCAAAGATTTTCATAGGATTATAGCAAGATCTTGACATGATACTGGAGGGTTCTCCTTTGCTTTTGAATCAGAATACTGTCAGAATTTCGATTAACCTTGGCCAAAAAAAGCTTTTCTGTTGCACATTAAGGGGTTCAATAGGACTTTATTAGGTTCCTATCAGGATCATGGCAGAAGAGTGAGGGTGGGTGTTTTATGATCAAATCTTACCCCCATCCCACACCCACACCCTCACCCACACCCTTGTTTTTCTTCAAGTACTATTTTTACTGTTGGGTGACATATGTAAACGAATTGTGAACGTGGTTGATTGTTCATTATTGTATGAATAGTCTATATTCTTCGTATCTAAAAAAGGGGGTCTCCTTTCTTTGAATAGTATTATATACCCTTTCCATATTCAAATAACTACGTTATCTCATTTTGAGATAAATCATTCCTCTTAATGCCGACATAATAGAAATAGACCTCGGCCTTCTATCTCATATAAAAATGTCTATCCTTGTGTCTATGGTTAGTAGACGTACACCTTCTATCTTATAAAATGAGAAGGTAAAGCTATAAAACTATTTATCGTTCTCTGTAGTGACAATAGACTTAAACCTTCTGTCGTATACAAGAAAATGAGAGAGAGTGAGTCGAAGGGAGGATATAAAATGACGATCAAAGAGATACAAGAGCGGACACTTTGTTTTTAGAGCATTGGTATATATCTACCTTTACGTATGTTTTATTTTGTGTCTCAGTTTATGATTTTTTTATAGGTGTTTACCATTTAATTTTAATAAATATTATTATATTAGTAACGATATACAAGAAAGCTTAACATAAACTCAAATATTTCGTTACAATTATAGAATTGTCAAATTATTCATATTAGCCATATTTTGTTATAATGCATCGGAATGGATCATGTAAATAATACAATGTGGGTGTGAGTTTAGGGAGTTTTGTCTTTCTACCGAAACTCACATTCATCCCTCATGCAGATTAAGTATGAATTATTAAAGACAATAATCACAACTTTTTACATTGCAAATCGTACGAGTATGATGCCGCTCCGAGATTATGTTTTCCATGCATTAACATGTATTGCACTGATGAAAATGACGGTATCATGTGGCTTGTATCGACTGTGGACACACTGTTACAATATCAATTAAAATGATCGTTATCATAGTGTCCCTGACTTCTGAAAGAAAAAGAGATGATTATCTTTTATTCTGTAACTTTTTTGTCACTTGTCTTATCACTATGTTCACCTTGGCTTTACTCCTTATACTCACTCATGAGTATATAAGAGACAAGTCAAGGAGAGAAAGAGAGTCAGTCGATAAGAGACAAAACGAACGTAGCTTGTTTCTTCTAACTGAAGGATATCTTTTGGAATTTAAAAGAGAATAAGCGTTAAATCATTGTTCATTTTTTTTCGTTACATGTATAAACTAAGCGCATGAGATAGTTGTCAGAGTTTGCAATAAAATAATTTTTCGTCCATTTCTATATGGAACGGAATCGTTTTCGTTTCAGAATATTCTGTAACTCGATAGCATTTTATCGATACTTTTTTTTTCAAATCACATGTTAACAGATACGACGGTATAGAATACAGAAAAGCAAAAATTGCTATTCTAAAAAAGGAGGGAGAGACGTTTCGTTGACAAGAGAGATATTTAGCTGCTATATAAAATTCGTATCAACTTTAAGACACAGAGAAAAACAGTAGAACACGTTAATAACATATAGTTATAGTGCGGCCGCTCAGCACAAACATTTCATTTTTCTACTTGTTTCTCGACATATCCATACCACTGGGCATCTTCATGGACGTTTTTATCTTTGTTTACAGAGGCAATAATGGAAAGTGAACAGATCAATTTCCTGTTCGATTGTGCTTCCAATCTACGCCTTCGCAACAGTCTATCATCATCGCACGAGTTCAGTTTGTCCGATCTTTGTCCAAGCAAATTGGCTGCTTGGGGTGCCGAACATCCTGCTGATCTGAATTATCGCGTTGAATTGGCACGTCGTATTGCATCGACATATGACGATGCTGATCAAATTATTATTTTTGATGATATAGCAACTACTGTACCAGATTGTGAGTATAATGATGCTCTCTTTATTTGTGGTTTTAATCGGGCTCTTCTACCTGCTCTCTGGTTATCGACTGGATTTCGTTGTGGTGGTCGAATACTCGTCTACTCACCGCCGAATTCAATCGAAATAGAAAATTATTTAAAGTTAAAAAAACTGATCGAAGAAAACCTTCACCGTTCCATTAATATTCAAATTCTTTATGAAGATTTAACTGGTCGTTTAATTAATCTTCTTGAGTTATTTGAAAAAAGTTCAGAAAACTATGCAAATCTATGTGAAGAATTTGCTCAACAATTCTCAAAAGCATTCTATCCGAAATATCATGTCGATATGCTTCAACGACATATTGAAACTATAACACAAGGCACCAAACGATCCTTCGTGTTTCCTTTTGAAATGACCAAAATTCATCTTGAGGCGCTGTTACCTTATTCCGATCGATTAAAATTACCTGATATGCCAACAAATGACAAAGCAAAACATAATTTATTCTTAAGAGCAAAAGGATTTAATTGCTTACCAAAATTATTAGCTGTTTCGCCAAATGGAGCATTGATTGATAATTATGAGCAATATATCGATGCACTGAAGCAATGTAAATTAGAACATACAGAAAATACATTATACAATATCGAGGTAAATATATATCTGCCAGTTATTACCTACTTTCCTATATTGTTTCCAAGTATTACAGTATTATGTTGTGCGACAGATGAATAGGAATTTCTTTTTCATACAGACTCCCTTTGGATATATTTCTCTCTTTTATTTACAGATATATTAGTAGAAATTTTCTTGAGCTCTTCAAATTTCGGTAAACACTTATTTTCTATTAGAAACTCTTTCTCTTTACTGGGCATGATGAAGAGTTTATCCAATTTAGTCAAATTCTTTTACTTTTTAGAATTTCAATATATCGAATAGAAAAAAACGAGATAACTCTCAGATTTTTATCATCATTTATGATTGTCCTAAAAGTTGAATTGTATTTCTAAATTTGTAGATCTTTGCTCGAACTATCATTGAAGCTGTTGATCAAATTTATCAGAAATATAATACAAAATCATTTGTTAAATTAGATGCAACGGGTGTAGGTGGTTTATCAGGCATGAGTCCAAGTTTACATCCAATAATCTATGACTATAAAGAAGATAAAAAAAAACGTATTGATTATTTATGCAAATATATCGAAATAAAATTGAAAGGTACGAAATTACCCACAACAGCAGTTGTTGAAGAATTTATCGAACCACAAAAACGTGTTGATGATGTTGATGCTACTTATGGTGTTTGTGGATTTGTTCTTGGAGGCATCTTTTTTCCGACATCAATTAATCTAGCTGAAACACCTGATGCATCGTACATAGGAATGGTAAAATTATTTTATTTGATGTGAGAACATTAAATTTAATTTTTAATTTTTCTGAAAATCAAAAATCAAAGTTCTTTTTTGAAGTATAAAAAGTTTGAGAAAGTGTTTTTAGTCTTAAACAAAAATACCGTTTAAAAGTTTGTATTTCATAGAAGTCGAAGTTTTATTAATTGGAGAACACTTCATTTGTTTATATTCTAGTGGATTTCATCATCGCCAGCTGATATACCGGATTCACCAACAGAATGGCAACAAATGTTTCAAGAATATTCTTGTATGGTAACTTTGGAAGCATCTGAATTTCATTACCACAACGGAATCTATGCTGGAAATTTATTTTTAACAAAGGATGGTTGTCATAAGATACATGATTGGAATATCCGTCGTGGTGGACGCTCAACACCCGAATCCTTAATAATATTTGATAT